AACATGTAGCTTATGCTTTGAGAGGTCTATATCTAGTCATACACGAGATTGAAATTATTTTACGTGTAAAAGAGTTTAAATAAGATCTTATTTTTCCTCATCTGAGACACCAACAACCTGGTGAGGTAAACAGGATCGCAGTCATGTTGGAGGACACGGGCAGGCCAGGCACTGGCTAAGTGGTTGCATACTCTATTTCCTTATACCTTCCAATAGCCTTGCCATTATAAGATGGAAAAACTGAGGCTGAGCGGTATAGTAAAAATTGGCTCTGAACCCAGTAAATCCCACTATGCTATTAAGACTCTTAACCCCTGTTTTTAATAATTGAGAAAAACAAGTCAATGTCACACTGCTAGCTAACACACACACATTTACTAATCCTTGGATGGGGACGCAAGAGTGGTTTAGTGATTTTTTCTTACCCTGATAATGAAAGGCTGCACAAGTGAACTAACATGTGTTAATCATGTAATCATGTCAAACAGCACATACCCTACAACCGGATAGGAATTTTACAACCCCAAATTGACTTCCTTTTATGGCTGAATGGTTTAGTCAGTGTGTGCTCAGGAAACATAGGATAATACAAATTTAAAAGGGAGTATTTAAAAAGACAAACTCACTCTCAGATGATCTTTGTACATTCTAGAAAACAATCCCACCTAGTTAATAAGTAAGATTTTTCTGTGATATGGACTTGAGTTCAAATGCTGGAGCATTTAACTGAAGTCAAGACAGAACCTCTGAACCTCAGTTTCCCCAGCAATAAAATGGGGGTGATACCTCTCCTACTGGGCTATAATTTTAAGTACTCAGTTGATACTCTTCCCCCCCGCAACACACACCTTCCTTCACCAGGTGTCCTTACAAGGCTATACTATTTAAAGTAAGAAAAGAAACCAAACCTGTTGCCATCAAGTCAATTCCGATTCATAGTGACCCAACAGGACAGAGTAGAATTGCCCCACAGGGTTTCCAAGGAGTGCCTGGTGGATTCAAACTGCCAAGCTCTTAACCATTGCACCATAAGTCCTCAGTAAAAGCTTGGCAAGGTGAAATGAACACAATGGTAGAGGTTTTGATTGAGAATAAATCAGTTCATGAATCACAAAGCTTTAAACAGAAACAAAAACAAAACAGGTTAAGAAAACAAAAGGGACTGATTCTATCCAATAGTATAGAGGAAAATCGGGGTTGATGTAAATAATGCCCTTTTAAAAAAATGGATTAAAAAATAATAATTTATACATATTGCCCCATAATCAAAATGTCCTTTCAGCAGGAGACAACGAGCATTCATTTCCTCTAAAGGATCTAAAATGATTTCATCAAAATAAATAAAATCACCAAAGCCACAATCCCTATCTCATCACCATCACACCTTCACCATTTCATCTGATTACATAACAAGCTTAAAAAATGCCATGCACAGTTCAACTGTTAAATGAGGTCTTCTCTCCAGCTGGGACTGCATAATGCAAAAGAAGGCAACAAAACTGTAACCAAAATAACTCAGAGAGGCTCAACACCAGAAGTGGTTTTAGAACCAGTACAAAAACCAAAAGAGGGAAGTAAGTGCTAAAATGAGAATCAGAACTGCATTCAAGAAATTCCTAAACTCTTTCTTTTAGCAAAGGGTTCATACTTTTCATTCACATAGCACCTGATGGTTTACAAAGCTTTCATTTGGGAATACCTAAGATAAAAGTTAGGCTTCGAGAAGCCAAGAAACTTCCTAGGAAAGCAAAGCTGTTGAGCGGCAGGGCCCACTCAAGTCCGGGTTGTATGACTCTATAGCTCGGGCTTTAGCCTCTTCCGTTACAAATTGACAACATTCTCATTTTCTTTGATGTTCCATAAATACCTGGAAATGCTGCATATTTTTCAAAAATTTAATTTTTTTTAAAAAAAGGTCTTACTGCTTTCTTTTACTAAAAAAGTTCTATTACACCAGAGATTCCACCAACCTGAGACCAGAAGAACTAGATGGTGCCCAGCTACCACCAATGACCACCCTGACAGGGAACACAACAGAGTCCTGGACAGAGCAGGAGAAAAATGTAGAACAGAACTTTAATTCATGTAAAGAGACCAGACTTAATGGTCCAACAGAGACTGGAGGAACCCCTAAAACTATGGCCCCTGGACGTACTGTTAACCCAGAACTGAAACCATTCCTGAAGCCCACTCTTCAGACAAAGATTAGACAGGGCTATAAAATAAAAAATAATACATGTGAAGAATGTGCTTCTTAGTTCAATCAGATATATGAGACCAAATGGGCAGCTCCTGTCCAAAAGCAAGATGAGAAGACAGGAAGAGATAGAACTGGTCGAATGGACACAGGGAACCCAGGGTGAAAAGGAGAAGTGTGCTGTCACGTTGTGGGGATTGCAACTAATGTCACAAAACAATAATAAATAGTTATCTGCAAAAAAAAAGTTCTGTTGTCAACACAAAAATCAGAGAGAGATATAAAAATGACTTGAATATAAAATTAATAAACCATACTCCCAATACTCTTAATACTGTGAAGTCACAGAGGTTCCAAACAAACCACTAATTCTATATGCCCACAATACCTTCATTTTAAAAACAAAAATGACACAGGTATTTCACAGCAAGAAAAATTAAACAAGCAAGTCAACCTACATATTCTCTCACTTATTCCTTTCCAAGGGTTGGCAGGACCCTCCTTCCCTCCCCCACTGGTTTACCTGGTGAGGCAGGTAATCCTCAGGAGCATATGACACTCCATCTACTTGGCAAAACCACCAAGGGTGTTTAATGGCCATCCTTATGTTTTTAAATTCGTCATTTGAATATTAGAAATGAAACTGTTTAGTGGTCTGAAAGAACAGAACAACTCTTCAGTTCAGGTATGGTAGAAATACTTTGCATACATAAGGACAAGTTGATATTCAAATCTGATATGATTGCTGTTGACCTGAATAATTGGTTTGGCCTAGTCTGAATAGGAGTCATAAAATAATTGACCCAAGCAGCAGTGTAAAATTAAAAACACTGCTAGGAAAGTTTATTATCATTTCTTACCTGTTAAATGGGTTAAAAAAACACGTAAGAGTAACATTAATTTAAACATTTAAGATTAAAATCTACTTTCAGATTGTGAATGTTAATAAAACTATAAATCTAAGACTATTCCCAATGGAAGTCCAAAGAAACTAGATTATAATTAGCTATTCTTTGATGGATGTAAAATTCCCTATTTTTCAATGAATGCATTACTAAATGGCCATGAGATCCTCAAATTTCAGGCATATCCTTTAAACTTTAAAAAATAGAGCTCAACTTTGCTTTAGTCACAATTCATCTGTTCACTACAGTCAAATATTTCAAATTTTCATCTCATGGCACTTGAAAAAGAACTGCAAACATAGGCTTACAGAGCTAGAATTAAAGGAATGACAAATACTTGGCATAGTATTATACCCATTCACCTAAAGGTCAGAATGCAACTTCATTGTATTTTAAAAAGTACTGTATACTATATAATACAGAACAAATCACATAAGTAGCCCAGGCAATCATGCTGAAAATGTTTACTAATAAACCCAAATTTTATATATGTGAAGCTCTTAAGAAGAATGAACTGTTTTTAACTTTTAACAAGTTTTCCCTGAACTGGTAACACATTGGGACAATCAAAATAAATTAAGATAAGAACTTTGTAATTATGAAAATTTTTTATTAGTATCTTGACCCACTATACTATTACTAGGAAAGGTTTTCTTTGCTAAAAGTGGAAAAATGAATAGTCAAGGATAAACAATTCTTAATATGTCACCTTTCCTAATAAAAGTATCTTTTTCTAAATTAAGAAAACTTACTAGATATCCTCCCCACTATACTCCTATTTTTTTTCTAGATTGTTTTGTTCTATTTTGTACCACTGTAGCAAATAGTTAAGCACTCAAACCAACAAAACACAAGAAGTCTTACAAGAATTCCCTCAAAACGAGTTTATTCCACCCTCTTCCAAGCACCACTGGTTGCCACTAAACCAAAATTCCAGCTAACTGCTTCCAGGAGTAAGACAAAAGTGGGTTTGACCTGCTTAGAATCAGTTAGGAAAAATATGCAAACAAGCTTTTTCAATCAGGAAAAAAAATTTTTTGAAATAAGGCAAAAATCAGGCTTTAGTTTCTGAAAAAGAATTGGAAAGTTTAAGAACAAACACCTATAACACACAAGTTCCTGAAAGTGTCTTAGATTCTATTTTATGATGACTCGGATAGTGGCTTTGTGAATCGCCTAACCCTTCCATTACTCATCTAATATATTAGCACATGACTGCTTATTGCTCAGCACTTTAAAGACTTTCTGAATAAGAGACAATAGGTCATTGATAATCACAAAAATTTGTGATTATAAAATTTATTTTTACAATATATAATGCACCAAATATACTATATTAGTAATTAAAGAATCTGTAAGGAAATCCTGACTCATTTTATCATTTCCAAACATGGTTTACTATAATCATCATGGTGTCGAGTCATATGTATTTAAAAAATGCAGAGGAGGTTAAAAGGAGTGCCAGTGAACAAAGGTTTGTAAAGAGCATACACCCACTACTTAAAATAAAATTCTTATCCATTCCAAAGAAGTCAGAATAAACCCTAAAACCAAGGTAATCAAGAACAAGTGGCCTTGGATCTACAGAAAAAAAAAAAAGAAAAAAAGTCTTCTCCAAGTCATTGCTACAAAAACACGTAATTGTAATTGTGAAATGGAATTCTATTTTAGATGCATTCACCTCTAAATCCATTCAACTAACAATCACTGTTCAAATTCACTAAATCATAACTATTTTGAAATAGGCCTATAGTTATACTATTAATTCCTCCCAGCACAGTAGACAAATTTTCAACAGGCTGATAAAATAACAAAATGTTATAAAGTTTCTTGAATTACCATTTTTTCCCTGGAGCTAGCTTTTCAAATGATTTCTTGAGTAATCATTAAAAGGATACACTCTGTCATTGCTGCAATATCCAGTTTGTCCATATCAGGGGAACCAGGGCAACACTTTTTGAATTCTTTTCGAAGGTCAAAAAAGGAATAGAAGCATTCAGGCAATAATACATTCTGGGGAAGAACAAGGGAGATACCGTTAATTAAGTAAATTTAGTTCAATGTTTCCCTAATAATTAGGAACCTAAGAATTAAATGCAAAAGTGGATTTATTTTGAGTAGCTTGGCCTGTCCCTGTCATAATATTAGATCCTGTATACGAGTCTCATGAAAAAAATGTCATCCTATTTTAAGGTAATGGATTACAATGTTTGTGCTCCATTATGCCTTCCATTCAAAACATTTCTGAAGCTGTTAATACATTCAGGCTGTTATGCTTTATATGTCCTGGGTTATACTACTATAATCTTTTCCCAGCCATAATCATTTTAGATCATCTGTATTTTCAGGCAGCAGTATCAGCCCTCTCAGTTCTCCTATTTAATAGTAAAATGTAGCAGTTCTGACTACTGGGTTCATGACAATAAATATTTTCACAGACAATTAATGGATAATTAGATCAAGAAGATAAATTCCTGATTACCTGAAAAGGATTACTTTTGTGCCAAAATACAGTCCCATTATCAGTTTTCCTACTATTATTCTGGCTGTACCCAAGCACTCAACTTAGACTTAAAAAAAAAAAAAAAGTATTACAAATCCCAAAGGCAAAGTAGTAAGGTTACTTGTTGTTCTGAGCTACCAGCACCACTCTGAGGTTATTAAACAAACCACAACTGTCTAGGCTAAAAATAAATACTACAGTATTATACTACTGTTTTTCTGGGGAAAAAACACCTCGATGAATAACTTTTAAAGATTTTTTTTTTTTAAACTGAATTTAGATTTTTCTTAGAATTTCAAAACACTTTGTGTGTTTGCTTAGTGGGAATTTTTATCCATTTGTACACATTAGAAAATCCAGGAAATAAAGACTTTTTAATGTTTATGACCCATAACATTTATGTATTAATATGTCCTTCTATCCAAATTTCCTCCATCGGATTCTGTTAGACATGACTTGCTCGTGCTGTATTTGAAATTAGTATCACTGCATCATGACAACAGCTTTCAGAGGAGGATCCTCAAGACTACCTACAAAAATGTTCATTTAAAAAAAGCTGTCTGTAATGACAATAACTCAGATGTCTAACAATAAAGGATTGGTCTAAGTAGCTATATTAAAATACAGAATGTTTTACTTGGTACTTTATAAAGGATACTGATGTTGTAAGAAAACAAGTCTGCATAGTATGAACCTTCCTTGTAAAAGTCACCTTTTTCTACAATTATCTGGAAGAATATACCCAAATATGTTGATATTAAATTTAAAAAAATATTGTTTTTTAAGTGGCAGGATTATTTGCTTTTATCAGTTCCCTACTTTTCTTTAGTGAATAGACAGAATTACTTTCATTATGATACTAAATTGTTTTCATTTCCTGTGTTTAAATCAAAAATCGTAATAGAAGTGGCTTAGGAAAATGGCTTAATTTTTCTCTGAAGGTTATTTTTCCACATCCAAAGCAGTCCATCAAAAATAATAAAAACAACCATTTTCCTCCTGCCTGATAGCGAAAGGATTACCTCTTGACCCCCTTGCCATCTGAATCTGAGGGAAAAAAAAATTATACACACACACATACATAGATTTTTTATATATATGTATATATATAGGGAGAGAGAAAGATCATATAAGGGTATAGAAAGTAGTCTAACATTTAATTTTTTTAAAATCCTCCCATTTTTCAAATAATTATTGAGCTTGCTATAAAAGGAGTGATTCAACCCTAAAGACATAGGAACTTGAGTTACTTCTTTAAACTTTTCTGCCAATATACATTTACCTCATTTCCAACATTTTCCCAACTTCAGTAAAAAGAAAATCTGCAGACCACTCACCTGTGCCATCTATTGTTTGCCTGTCTAAGCCTGTCATTGCAAGACTTGTCTCATACAGTTACATAAAAATAGTTTACTTCCATCTTTTCAAGCTCATTACCTGCCTACCACACTAAAAAGTTACAGCCCAAACTAATTTAAATTGATAAGAGCAACTCCATTAGCAATGATTGGCTACATTGGGTTCCCTGTCTACTATTTTCCCCAAGTCCCTCAGTATTCTTGCCAGGGAGAAAAATCACATTATCTACATTAAGATTGTTTTTTCTCACTCCTTAATCTTTTTCATATCAAAAAAACTAGCAAAGGTAAAAGATGGGGCTGACCCTATTATTTTGACAGAAGATTCAATCAGTTTTGAACATTTATTTAAAGTCAGACAAGAAGCAGTGTGCTATAATTAATTTTCACTAGACACACAGTTAAGTCTTACTTTAAGTTGTACATGGCTTTTTAAAGAAATTACTAGAATTACAACTAAAAATTATTTAGTTGAATTTTTTTCTCCTTCCTTCCAGGATAAAGCATTTTCTACACAAATGGGAATATTACAATGTATTAAAACACACTTCTCTCCTCCCATTTGTAGTTATTATAAATGTTCAAAAGTCAGACTGTCTTAAGCCTTGAAAAAGGAAGAATGTTAAGCATCTCAAAAAGCTGAGTTAAAAAGAGAAAGAAACTCCACTTTATTAACTCACCAAAGAGTATTTATAAAACCACTGCAATTCTGAACATCTCTATGAAAGTGTAGCGCATCTTTTAAAAATAAACTTGGATAAACCATTTAAAAAAAAAAAAAGCCTCCAGTCACCACAAAGGTCCAATCTCTTTTGAGAAGCCAACCCTCTTACCTTCTTGGAAGCCTCAGGATGCAGGATTTGCCTGACATGAAGCTGCCCATCGGTACAGAGACAGAAGGAAGTCCCTACCCCAATATTCAATTCATTGCTCACTGACTGGTTAAACTGAAAAAGAACAAAACACACACAGGGATGAAATTGATGTAGGATTTAAAACAGTGTCAAGTGACCCCACTTGGTAATAACCAGAGAAAGATCGCTATCTGCCTGCGCGCTTCCTTTAAATCAGGAAGCTTTGTAACCAACCTGCGCTTTACGCCCAGAAGAAGCTAGTAAATGCATTCTCCCTTCCATGCCCTCCATTTTTCCGATAAACCCGTTCAAGGCTTTTAAGGCAGAGGTCTCGTTTCATTAGCGGGTTGTCTTCAGATTACCTCATTCCCTGGTTTTACTTTTTAAAGGCTTGGATGTGCCAGGCTTAAGAAAGATGGCAGTTTCTGATAAACAAATGTGGGCATACGGACCTCTGAACAGCCTAGTAACACGTTTTTTGAAAGATAATTTTCTCCCATAATTCGCAATTTGTGTTCCAGGATGGGGCCATGAGAGCGCGGAGCATTCTCTTTTTACAGGTGTTTAGCGCCTGGCCCTGTGCTGTAGTCAGCATGCCGCAGCAGCCGGGTTTTAGGTCACCTCAATTCCAACTAAGGACATTCCACCAGTCCCACAGTGACCCAAGGAACAGCACTACATGTTCGGACCTGCAAACCTTCCCTCAGCGCTGAGACCAAGGGAGCTAAAGAAGGAATGAAACCAAAGCTTTGGGAGTGCAGAATCCGGAACCAAAGACGCCGGGCAAACCAACCCGGGGGTTCCGACCTCGCTCTGGCCGGTGGGCGGTCCGCGAGTCTACACCACAGCGCCCCCTGCCCCAAGGCTGAGCCGCGTCTGAGGTGTGGGCCAGGGCATGGGTGCGCTAGGATTCAAACTCTGCCCCTGCCCCTCGTTACGGAAGCCCAATTAGTAAAACCCAGATGGCTATCTACGGCCCTAGGAACGACTCACGAAGGTTTCGACCTAAGACCCTGGGGGCTGGGAGGCGAAGAGGAGAAGCGACCTCGGCCCACCTGGGCCTCCTGGCTCGGTCCTAGAGGCAAGGTTCCCACCCACGCGGCCCGGTGTCTCGCCACCCTGCCCCAGGGGGCGCGCATGGACGCCCCGACACAGCGTCGGGCCTGGTAGGGAGATGCGCGCGCGGTGCCGCTGAGGGTGGGCGGCGTGGCCCAGGGCTGTCACCTGTCGGAGCGCTTGGTCCAGCTGAGGCGCTGAGGACAGGGTTTCGGCGTCGATCTTGGTTTCTTCTTTGCAGTCCTCCGTCAGTTCCAACTGATCCGGTCTAACTAGTACTTCGTGTAACTGTCCGACCTCCGGGGCGAGAAGCAGGGGTCAGTTTTCCCCTCCATCAGTTCCGGTGCCCCTCTCTCTTCACCCTCCTCCTCCCTCGCTTCCCAGGTGGGCCCGCCGCCCGCTACTCTTAGGGTCTGGCGGAAGAATCAAAGCTCGCTAGACCGCCCGTCTCAGCTCCGGCCCCACCCCCACCCGGATCTGGTCGGAAAGGCCCTCAAAGCGGGCGCTGGGGCCCGAGGGACCCCACCCCGGGTCCCCTTGGTGTCCCTCGACGGGCAGAGAACCTGGCTCGGCAGCGCCGTCCTCCCCACCTGAGCCAGATTTCAGAGGGCTGAAATGGCTACAAGGAGGTTGGCCAACAAGTTTGGTTTTACGCTGGATTCCCTAGGCCTCGGGTCCAGCCTCCCAAATGAGCAAACGAGCACTTGTTTACCGACGCTTCCGCCCCCAAACTTCTACAACAAAGTTCTTGTCCCACGCCTTGCATTTGGACAGTAACGTGGAGAAATACCTTCTTGTTGGCCAGATCCACCACTTTCCATACCAGCAGGATCAGCTCCTTCTCATCCGAGCCCAGCTTGGCCCCGGTCGCCCCAGCAGTGATCCCAAAAAGCACCACCAAGTAATCCGGAGACGCCGTCATGACGATAGGTGGGGAGGGGGAGAAGGGGGGTCGGGAGGCGGTGAAGTGGGGTGGAAGTGAAAACGAGAAAACCTGTGCTAAAACCTCTTCTAAGAAAAAAGAAAGCGCGCCCACCCCCCCCACTCGCCGCTGCCGGTGCAAAAGGCGGTAACCAGCCACCCAAGCCCACACCTGGCCAGTGCTCCACACCCAGGGCAGGAAGGGGGGGGGTGGGAAGGAGGGCCAGGAGGCCTTCCCTTTTTGTATTCAATTGCCCGTGCGTCTATGCAAAAAGCTAGGAGCAGGGTTGCACCTCCCGGAGGCGCGCGCAATGGCTGAAAGCCTTTCTGTTTTGGGATGTGGCTCTACCTGCCCGCCCCCTCCCCCACGTGGTGCAGGTAAGAGACACCTGGCGGCGCCGGCCCATTGGCTCCTTCAAACCACGACGTGGCAGCGTTGGGGGAGGAGGCCGCTCGGGGAGCGGGAGGAGGGGGAGGGAGACAATGGCTGGATGAATGAAGAGGGGAGGGCGAGGAGAGGGAGAAAGGAGGGGCGGGGAAGAGGCGGTTGCTACCCAGAGGGTAGTTGAGGCCACACGGGAAAGGGGTGAGGGGTAAAGGAGCCGAGGGGGGCGGACTGGAGACGCCAGGAAAAGGGTGGTCGCATTTGCAGGTAACCGACAGGTGTGGGGCGGGGGAGCTCGGAGGAAGGCCGACTGGGGGGAAACGAAGCCGGAGGTTCTGAAGGGTCAAACGAAAAGGCCGGGCACCAGGAGGCGAAAGGAGGCCAGAGGTGAGGCCCCGGGCGCGGAGCTGCCCAGGGCGTCGTGACCCGGGAGGGCGAACCGCAGAAGAGGGAGGGACCCGCCAGCGGCAGCCGGGAGGTGGCGGGGGCAATTGCCCTGCACCGGAAAAGCCCCTCCCGAGCCCAACACACCTTTCAGTACAAACAGCATGCGAAGCCCTACGGGCCCTCCCCTTTGCCGTGCCGGAGCCTGGGACAAGCTCCCCAGTCCCGCGGCGCTGCCCATTTTCCGGAGAGGAGCCCCTGGGTGCGGCAGACCCAGATGTCCGGGGTTGGACGTCCTGACATCAAGTCACGCCCAAAGACGCAGTTACAGCGCGCAAAGTAGGGTGGGGGACTCGTGAGGAATTCAGGCACAATGATCCCCACCCCGCTTTCTATCCTCCACTAACCGAACAATCGGAGCGTCTCGTCTAGTACTGGCTGCTAGTTCGAGACTGGAACCTCCTCCGGGGCAGGGAGCTACTTCTTTGATTTGCCCTAGGGCCCTAAATGAAATGTATCCGCTCCGCGTACTCAATGTTTTCTAGATCAGGCCAAAGCAAGCTTTTTCCCCAGTTCCCCTCTGTGTCCCCACGCCCTCCACTCACGCCTTTGCCTTCGTGTTTCGATTTAACCTGGTTCCCAAAGAACCTGCCTGCTCTAGCTCAGCTTAGTCGGTCCAGAGGCTCGTGCCTCCATCGTCACCCTCAGCTACCAGGTCTGACGGCAATGTAGTGGGTCCTGTTAACATTTTAGGGCGAAAAGCGCTAGAGGTGAAGTTTCCTGGGGTTTTAAGTTTCAAACCGATCTATTCTTGGGAACAGAATTCCGTCCGAGGTATTACTAATTTGGCTCCAGGTGTCCAACCCTTCGTATTCATGGTGTGAAGCCAGGCAACCACATACCTATCATTGAGGGAACAAATCGAGTAACCTTTCAAGATGCATGTCTAGGGGCGCTGGAGACTGGGCTTGCCGATGCGGAGACTGAGTGGGGAAGGCACCCAGGCTCCTGCGGGAGAAGAAGGACCCGAGGCCGCGCCGTCGCCTTTCCGGGTAGGAGAGCGCGCGGGCGGAGGCGAGATTGCCCTCGGCGCAGGTAGCAGCTCCCGTCCTCTGAGAGAGGGCGGGGGTCCCGCCCAGATAGGCCCGGGCTCCCAGATTCGTAGGGTTACAAGCGCCCGCAAGGACACTGGGTGCCACCCTCGTTTGCGGCTCCAGTTCCAGGGACGCGTGCTTCCCCTCCTGAACTTCAGGGTTCGGAGTCAAAAATGGACTCCCGCAAACCCTCCGGCTGGCAAGCAGCCCAGCCTCGGTTTCTCGGAGCCACCCTCCCGGTCTCTCCGGCGCCGCGGGGGCAGGGACTAGGCGTGGAACGAGGCTAGGAGGGACCTGGATAAACCACCCAGATTGCACTGCACTGGGTGAGGTCCCTCGGAGGAGCCGGCTCCCGCGAGCTACTTTCCGGCAGAGCTTTAACGGTGCGCGGTTCCCAGGTGCGTGCTTCTGCCCGGGCCAGAGAGGTGCCGCCCGCCAGGTGCGCGGGACCTGGTGCTGCGGACCTGAAAGCGCGCGGCCGCCCAGAGGGCAGACGCCGAGCGGACCGCTTGCTGAGAAAGTCGTTGGGAACAGCCCACGAAGCCCAGCCCCGCCCGTCGTTTCAGGCTTTCGGTGTTCCGATTAATCATTTGTACTGAGCGTTTGGATAAACCCGAGAATTTATTATCAGCGCATTTGCCAGGGATTCCATAGCATTATTCAGATTGGAATCATGAATCTCAGAGCCGCCCTTTTTCACAGAGACATCCCTTCTTCCTATGTAAGGAAGTGGGATTCTTGGTTTCTGATCTTTTTCATTTAAATTTTAATTTGTCCAACTAGAATCCCCAACAGGGATTTTTGTTTTCTTTTGTTCTCTGATGTATTCCCAGGACTTGGAACAGAGCCTAACGTATAAGAACTAGGCACTTAACAAATATTGCTGAATGATTTTAATGAGTAACACCCACCCATCTTTGTAGTTCTTTGTCTTTTGAGCCTAGGGCATATTTCATTCTTTGCAAAGGTGAGATTCTGGAAATGGGAGTCCACCGGTTATTTAAGTCTCAAACCGTTAAAATGAGTATGTGCTAATTCTTGGGCAAACTTACTTTTGTTAAATTAAATTTGTAAGAGGCAGAAATTCCAGAAAAAATATGCATATAATACAAGCAGATCGGTTCTGAATACAAGGATGTTTTACTGTCTGGGCTACATTTATAAACAATTCTAACATAGTAAGAATAATCAGTATGACCTGACTGAGAGGAACTTTGAAGAGGGAGGCTCGTTGAACCCATGGTCTTCATTCAAGAGGAGCCCTAGTGGTGCAACGGTTAAGTGCTCTGCAGCTAACTGAAAGATTGAGGTTTGAACCGACCCAGTGGCTCCTCAGGAGAAAGATTTGGCGATGTGCTCAGTAAAGATTGTTGTTGTTAGGTGCCATGGAAAAAAGATTACAGCCTAGAAAATCATAAGGGATACTTCTACTTTGTCACACGGGGTTGCTATTTGAAATTTGACTCCATGGGGCAACTTACAACTTCATTCAAAAACTCCCCAAACGAGAATCTGTTTTAAAAAAGCAGTAGAGACCCAAATTAAGGGACAGGCTCCAAAATGATTGGACTGCACTCTTAAAAAGATCAGGGTCATCAAAGACAGAGACTGAAGAACTTTTCCAGATTAAATGAGATAAGAAACATGACAACTAAATGCAACATGGATCAGGAAAAATACACACATTTTGTTGTTGTTGTTGTTAAGTGCCATTGAGTCACTTCCAACTCATTAAGGACCCTATGTATAACAGAACAAAACAGTGCCCGGTCCTGCGCCATCCTCATAATTCTTGCTATATTTAAGCGCATCATTGCAGCTAGTGTGTCAGTCCACCTCCTTGAGTGTCTTCCTCTTTTTCACTGACCCTCTGCTTTACCAAGCATGATGTCCTTCTCCCGGGACAGGTCTCTCCTGATAACATGTCCAAAGTACATGAGACAAAGTCTCCCAATCTTCTCTCCTGAGGAGCATTCTGGCTGTACTTTTTCCAAGACAGATTTGCTCCTTCTTCTGGAAGTCTGTGGTATATTCACTATTCTTCCCCAACACCATAATTCAAAGGCATCAGTTCTTCCATCTTCCTTATTCATTGCCCAGCTTTCACATGCATATGAGGTGATTGAAAACGCCATGGCTTGGGTCAGGTGCACCTTAGTCCTCAAGGCGACATCTTCACATTTTAACACTTTAAAGAGGTCTTTTGCAGTCCACTTGCCCAATGCAATACCTCATTTTGATTTCTTGACTGCGGCTTCCATGGGCATTAATTGTGGATCCAGTAAAATGAAATCCTTGACAACTTCAGTATTTTCTCCATTTATCATGATGTTGCTTATTGGTCCAGTTGTGAGGATTTTTGTTTTATGTTGAGATGTAATCCATACAGAAGGCTGTGTAGTCTTTGATCTTCACCTATAAGTGCTTCAAGTCCTCTTCACTTTCAGTAAGCAAGGTTATGTCATCTGCATATTGAAGGTTATTAATTAATGAGTTTTCTTCCAATCCTGATGCTGTGTTCTCCATATAGTCAGGCTTCTTGGATTATTTGATCAGCATGCAGATTGAATAAGAATGGTGAAAGAGTACAACCCCGACACACAACTTTTCTGATTTTAAACTACTCAGTATCCTCTTGTTCTGTTGGAACGACTGCCTCTTGGTCTATGTACAGGTTCCGCATGAGCACAATGAAGTTTCTGGAATTCCCATTCTTCACAATGTTGTCCATAATTTGTTATGATCCATACAATCCAATGCCTTTGTATAGTCAGTAAAACACAGGTAAACATTTTTCTGGCATTTTCTGCTTTCTGCCAGGATCCATCTGACGTCAGCAATGATATCCCTCCTTCCACGTCCTCTTCTAAATCTGACTTGATTTTCTGGCAGTTCTCTGTTGATATATACTGCTGCAACTGCTTTTAAATTATCTTCAGCAAAATTTTAATTGCATGTGATATTAATGATATTGTTCAATAATTTCTGTATTCAGTTAGATCACCTTTCTTGGGCACAAATATGGATGTCTTCCAGTCGGTTAGCCAGGTAGCTGTCTTCCAAATTTCTTGGCGTAGACACGGGAGCTCTTCCAGCGCTGCATTCGTTTGTTGAAACATCTCAGTTGGTATTCTATCAGTTCCTGGAGCCTTGTTTTTCACCAATGCCTTCAGTGCAGCTTGGGCTTCTTCCTTCAATATCATCAGTCCTTGATCATATGCTACCTCCTGAAATGGTTGAACATCAACCAATTCTTTTTGGTATAGTGACTTTGTGTATTCCATCTTCTTTTGATGCTTTCTGTGTCATTCAAT